TTTTAAAGAAAGTGATCTTTTGATTTTTGTAACTCTACTGTGAAACTGTTGTTTCTTTGGTTAGTACTAATTGTTTATAGTTTCATTGAAATTTGTTGGGTGATTGGATGCAGAACAAAAGAAATATCACACATGATTTTCAATTTTTAGTTCTGAGTTTTAATTTTGTCATTATATATGCTTTACAAAGTTTGCTCGCTGGACTTAACATCCTTGCTTTCTGCCACCAGTTTCCCGTCCACCAAGGTCTGAGTGACTGTCACCACTTTGGTCTGGACCTTCTTTGAATCAAAGGCATCCTCCAGTCTGTTACATTGAAAATGAGGAGAAAAACAAAAAAACGTAGCCACTGTTAACATGATTTTCTAATGACTTACTGTAGATGAGACTCTATCCCTATCAATTTATTATACTCAGTTTTTGAATGAAAAAGAATTATATCACATATGCAACATAGTGTATGTGTTTAACAAAGTAATTATGTTTCATCCACCTCATTACTTTCATACTCTTCACTTGCATCACCTGGATTTTAGCATATTGCCCATTGTCACCTATCATACTCACTGTAAGTCACCCCCTCCGTCCAGCAGCCTCCTGTACTCTGCAATCTCAGCCTCCAGCTTCACCTTGATGTTCAGCAGGTTTTCATACTCTCTTGAGTTTTCTTGGATGTCATTGCGGATCTGAGTTAGCTGTTCTTGTAGCCTTAAAATAATCAGATTGTACTTCTCCACCTCCTGATTGTACCGCATCTCAAGGTCACGCAAGGTGGCCTCCAGGGACGCTTTCTGTGAAGTAGCAAAATATTTGTGTTGTTGATTTGTAACAGATGGGATTAGAAAAAAATGTTACTTGTTAAGGTCCTTTCGGTGTGATATTACACATCTATAAAATGGTACAAAAATCAATATGTTAAGTTCTTAAAAGTTTAGAAAACAAAACTAAATCATCATAACTAATTTCAATTTCAAATCAGATAACATTTATTTCTGGATTTAGACTTTCTACAAAATAGACTTAGTTGTCTGTCCTTACCCTCCATAAACTGCTATATCTGGACAATACTACTCTAAAACTAAAGGCCTAATATTATGTGTAATGAAATATTAATATTATCTTAAAGCCCATCCCATAATTGAAAGCCCTCTTACCAGGCTGAGCGCGGACTGGAGTTCAATTTCCAAGGCTTGCTGTCTCCTCCTGGTTTCAGTCACTACAGTTGTGGCTTCCTTCAATGCTGTTGTGTTCTCAGTAACCTGGACTTGCACCTCTGTGATCTTAAGACAAAATAAAATATGTGATGGGTCCTGCAAGTAATTCTTCAAAATTGCATTTTACTAACATTTTACTGTTGCAGTCAAACTCTGTCATCTTTGTCTCTGAAGTGTGTCTTACCTGAGATTCATGCCATGCTTTGAGTTCCTCTTGGTTCTTAAGTGCTATCCTCTCATACTTCTCCCTCATTTCCTCCATGATCCTTGCCAGGTCCTGGCCCTTTGGAGCATCAACATCCACACGGACACCAGCCTGCGCAATCTGGGCTCGCAATTCAGCAACATCCTGTTTGGGAGGAAAAAGTCAGGGAGTGATTTCCTGAAAGGTTAGACAGGGAACCCTATGCAAAGAAAAAGTGTAAGAAACAATTTGCAAAGTTTTTTGATTCCCTTGTAGCAGAAAGAGTGAAGTAAAACAGGGACTATACTTGAATAGCTGTAATCTTAATAAATTTTAATACTCCTTAAATATGGTCATACCGCCTCATGGTTCTTCTTCAGGGTGATCAGTTCTTCCTTTAGAGACTCAATGTCCCCTTCCAGATGCAGGCGTATGACATTAGTGTCATCAAGAACCTTCCTAAGTCTGGCAACATCAGCCTCCACAGCCTGTCGCATGGACAGCTCATACTCCATCCTATGAACAGTTTCTTAACTTCAGTCAGACTCATCATGGGTGTAATATAAAAAAAATGACACTATTTTACCAACTTGACTCTGAAGTCATCTGAGGCCAGTCGGGCGTTGTCAACAGCAATTGCAAGATGGGCGTTTCCTTTGATCATGTCAGCAATCTACAGTATTAAAAAAACAACAAAGGAAATATTTTCCATTCAGTTATTTCCCTTTTAAGTCAATTTTGAAGTATTTTCAGTTTTCAATGATTTCTTAAAGCAAAATTGGGGTGAATGCTGCAGTTGATTCAATGGCCGACCTTTAATAAGGATAAACTTTGGTTAACTCCTTGCTGTTGGGATCACAAGGTTTATAATCACACTGTGGTCATAAAGTTTTATAAAGTACCATAAACAAAATCTTTGTAGTGTAGGAGGCGTAAAGTGACTCAACTAGGACAGACTTTGCTTAAAAGTGATAAGACTTTTACAAGGATTCACATAAAGTACAACTGAAGATACATATAGAGCTTGTGATTTGCTTGAAATTGTTCTGGATGAAACTTTGTTCTTCCCTATGAGCCAAGGGAAATAAGCCTTACCCAACAAGTTATAGATAGATCACTGCACTGCAGATTTTGCCAGTTTCTTGTTTTTTCTTCTTGGTATAACATAAAAATTCCCTGATTCCCTTCCCCTTTTTGTCCGATATTTTGACAGTAATTTATGTTTTAAGCCATTTATGTTTCTCAGTGAGAATTATCTAATAAATGGCTGGGCTGTGATAAATAGCAGCACCATGCCATGTTCCGGTGACAAACATTACAATGTTTTTTGACAAAATTTCAAGATGTTAATGTGAGATTTGTGCTGTGTAAATGCTTATTCATCAACACCCCATGGTTTGTACAACAAACAGCCAAAGGGTAAAAAATGTGTTCTAAAAATGTAAACCATCTGCCTGATATGGATGTCTTACGGAGGCTTTTTCTCACCTTGGCTCTGAGTTCGGCAATGATGATTTCGTATTTGCTGTAGTCCCTTCCTTCTACCGGGCCTCTCTTCTCGATGGTCTCCCTGATCTTGATCTCCAAGGATTTGTTGACCTTCTCTAGATTCCTGACTGTCTCCAGATAGCTGGCAAGACGGTCATTCAGATTCTGCATGGCAATCTTCTCATTTCCAGCTACCATGGTTCCACTGGTTGTCCCAGTTTGGTAGTTAAACCCCCCACCTAAGTTGCCACCAAGTCTTGTGGAGATCCTGGTGCCATGACCCCCAGCCCCACCACTGACACTGAAACTGGTGAACCCATGTTGGGAGTTCTGACGTCTCATTAGATGATCCATCGTTGAGAAATTTTGGCTGATCAATCAAAGGCAAAAGTGTCACAGGCTTGAAAAGAGCTGGAAGCTGAGAGTGAAGAACCAAGGAGTCGTTTGGGGTCTTATATATGCAACTGAATACCAGTACTCCTTCCTGCCACTCCTCTCCTATCTTTATTACATTTGTACCTGTGTCACCTTCACCTGGACTTTGCCTTCTTTAGCTAATATATCCATAAAAGCCAAACCATGTGCTGACATACTCATTTCATTCATGTCTCATAAAGAAAACTGTATCTATGGAAACTTTCACTTCAAAATGAATGGCACAATCTCCATAGCACCAAACATGAAGTGTTCTGTTGCTAAAAGGCTATATATTGCTACAGTACTGTTTGGGGAACGGATATTCAGCCCTTTTTTCTTATTTGAAAGAAAATGTGGGTTTAATTCAATTAAATTCAGTTTATTTGTATAGCTCCAATTCACATCACATGTGTCTCAAGGCACTTTACAGTTCACCAGATCATACAGTTGAATTGGTTTAAAGTTTTCTATCTAAGGAAAACCAGTTAATTGTGTCGACTCATTGACTCGAAGGCAATCCCTCACACAGTATGCTTGTAGTAAGAGTGGAGAGGAAAAATTCCCTTTAAACGAGAAGAAACCTCCAGCAGAACCAGGCTTAGTGTGAGCGGCCATCTGTCGAGGCCAACTGGGGTTCAAGGAGACAGAAGCAGAGATACAAAAGGCAACTGTAAAAGGCAAGGAAACACACAGCCAGGCAGACAAGTTTCCAGCCACCTCCCATGTCAGACGATTAAAAGAGCACATCCAGTCAGTTACAGTCAGAGAAATACATGTAGGACTACAATTAAAAAACAGGCCGACCTTGAACATCTATCAACAAGGTGCTGATGGCAGCAGCACAGCTGATATTTCTCTCCAGGATGGAGTCACAACCAAACAGGAGCAGACAAGGCGAAGCTACTATCACAAAAAACAGAGAGAGCATGTTACAGATTAAACTAACAGATTCCGCAGAGCAGGAAAATAGAGATAGAATGAAGCAGAATGATGAAAAAGAGGTTCCTATGTCCTCCAGAAGTCTAAGCCTATAGCAGCATAACTATAGACACAGAGGTTAAAACCATAATACCACACGCAAGGGACAGAAAACTAAATGATACCAACAAGATTCACATTAGTGACCCTTTCACTGGATACGAAATGAAACTGTACAGTAAGCATTAGGGGTCTGTGGAAATGTATGCCAAACAGTTTAGAGGGCTAATTCGTCAAACTTCTATTCCCCTCTTTTAGCATTTCATGATATAAGATCCAAAAAAAGTTTTCATGGAAAGAATAAAACATTTTACAGAACAATAGTTTTATAAACAGCCCAAATGCCATTAGTTACAAGTTAATATTCATTAAATTATTTTTAGATTTTTTTTTTATTTGTAGCACAAAACTGAGACCAATTAGTCATAGGAGAGTAAACGTGGAGATCCTCAGTGTTTAAAGATTATCAAAGGATGTAAAGCTAATTATATATTAATATTTGGAGGCCTCGTTTTATTACCTTTCCTGTAATTCAGACTCAACACTAAAGACCTTTAGATGATAGTCAGGAAGAAATAACACACTTTGACATAAATGTTTTTTTCAAATGGACTTTATTGAAATAAAGACAGAACAGCAGGCAGAGCAAATTGGATAAAAGGAAAACAAAGACAACACACAAATTTTAAAGTTGCATTTAATTTTACCATTGTTTTTTAATCAATTTTTCTCTCAATAGCTTGTCAGAGTCCACCACTCCTGAACTGTGGCAACATCTAAAGGACAACAAAAAAGTGACATAAATAGATCCTGATGAATAAATAACAGATGGTTTTGTTTTCCTCTGATCCAATTTTCATCAACCTCTGCAAAAAACATTAGCATTGCTGTGAAGCTTAACAAAGAGCTTTTGATCTTATTAGAGACTCTGGAAATTAAGTTTGATGAACAGATTAAAATTAACACTTTGCTAATTTTATTTTGTTATTTTAGAATAAGTTTTGCTTGCATCCTTTGATTAAAGGTTCTTTGTGTTTGTGCTGGAAGAGACGATCTTTCCGTCTACAAGGGTCTGTGTGACGGTCATTACTTTGGTCTTTGTCACTGTTTTCTGTTCTTCCAGAGCATCCTGAAGCCTAAAAGCAAAAAAAAAAATACAACCCTGTTATATTCTGCAATTTTATTTTAAAGTAAGAAGCCTAGTAAAACTGCCTTACTCACTTGAAGTCTCCACCATCCAGCAGCCGTCTGTATGTCGCGATCTCAGCCTCCAACTTCATCTTTGTGTTCAGCAGGGCCTCGTAGTCCTGAGATTGAAGCTGGATCTTGTTCCGCAGCTGTGTGAGTTCTGCCTCCAGGCCCAGGAGAATCACATTGAGTGACTCCATTTCCATGTTGTAGTGCTGTTCTGTGTCCCTCAGTGTGCCTTCAAGAGAGGCTTTCTGTGAAGACAGGAGGGGGTTAATGGATTAACACTTTTACAGCTTATGCAGATCTGTAATGACAACACCATAGTGACGGGCCATCAGAGTGTAAAGCTTGTGTCAACAAAGTAAAGGCAAACGACCTTAGGAAAGGGTGCTGACTTGGACATTGCTGTGAGTAAGGTTAAGCTTGTGTTGAGGTAAATGAAGTATGTGCTGACTGCATGCTTCTTACCAAGCTCCTCTGTGACTCCAGTTCAATCTCAAGGGTTTGTAGCTGTCTGCGCAAGTCGTTCACTTCTGTCTGGGCACCCTTTAGGGCCTCTGTGTTTTGCGTCACCTGTGTTTGAACTTCTATAATCTGAAGGATAGGTCATCACATTCAAAGATTAGTGAATCACTTGATAACTCAATAATTATTTTAGAAGCAACAGGCTGGAGAACAAGCAAACAAACAAACAAAAAAAAATTTCTTCAAAAGGTTGGTTACTCATTTACCTGAGATTCATGCCATGCTTTGAGTTCCTCCTGGTTTTTCTGTGCCAACTTTTCATACTTGGCTCGCATTTCTGCCATGATCTGAGCCAAATCTTGACCTTTTGGTGCGTCGACATCTACATGGACACCAGACTGGGCAATCTGGTTACGAAGCTCCATGACTTCCTGAAGGAACAGATGGAAAAATCTTGAAAGTGGTCTGTAGTCATAACTGGCACATTGTCACACTGTATATTATGCTGTCATTACTTCTGTTATCCACAGAGCACCAAATAATCATGCTTCAAAGAGCTACTTCAAGGCTAATGTGACTTTTTTATTTTTAAAACATAATTAAAATTTCTTCTTTACACTAATAACATTTACTCTATGGTGACCTAGGCCATCATGCACACACCTACTCAATTCGGGACACCTAATTGTATGCCAATGGTTGGTGGTAATTGCACTCTTTCCAATCTCCATGTGGAAGTTTACTGAAACACCCCAAAAAGTTTGAGTTCTGTATCTTAAAATTTGGATATCATGCGCAAAAAATATCCACATTTTTAATGACTACTACTTATAGTAGTAGAATTAAAACTCAGTTTATTTGTTTGTTTCTAGCCGATATTTGTTATGCATGTCTGATTAACTTAGTCATCAATGTACTACTGTACTGAAGCAAACAATGGATAACATGACTGTTTACAAGAGGGGAACCTGAAAACTATCAACTCATAGTGTTAGTCCTTTTTTCTATCCTTAAATTTGACTTTTTTTTTACTTGTCATGCAATTCAACTTCTTCAAAATTACCAAACAGATCTGTATTAAATTTTATCTCACAAGAATACTACATATGCTTTCTGAACGGTGTCCTGTGTGTGACTCAAGGCCTTAAACGTATTTTATGGTCAGATAAAAATACAGGGAACATGTCCTAATTTTTCTCTTGGTTCATAAAGAGTTAGTTTAAAACATCCCTTAGTAAACAAAGGCTGTTTTTTGGCTTCACTCTGAGCAAACTCAATTATTTTAATTCTGTGGTGCTCTCTTTCTTCCCTGTATGGACTGTAAGGAATTTCATGATGAGGCTTCCCACAGAATTGTATTCTTTGAGTATAGATATAATTATTGACATGTGCTTATGTACAAAAAATTCATCAAGATCCTTTTAGAACATGGACATTTGCTAGAGAAGGCTTTCAGGACTATCTCTTGATCAAAGCTAGTGCTGGGTGTTGCAGAATATGCAGACTCTGATGTAGGCTGGTTTTAATCTTACATTTTCATGGTTCTTTTTCAGGTGGATCAGCTCCTCTTTAAGAGCTTCAATCTCACTCTCCAGGTTCATTCGACTCAGGTTAGTGTCATCAATGAGTTTCCTCAGACCGACGATATCAGCCTCCACAGACTGACGGATGGCCAGCTCTGACTCGTATCTAGAAAAAAGCAGCAAGGTTGACTTTAAATTACATCAGATAGAAACTATAATCCCTGGAATATTGTACTCTACCTAACACTTTCGGGTAGGGACGGAAGAAACCTTCTGTGCTGGTTTCTTTAAAATCAAACACCCTGTATGAATTATATTTACACGATGATTCGGTCAGATTGGAAGCGGCTGTTTTTTCTTACATCTCTGACTCAACTATAGTATTTAAACCATTTATGACGAAGATTTATGACTATGAGACAAATGACTCCCTCCTTAGATCATGACAGGATTTATTCATTGCAAAGCCCATTCTGTAGTAAAACAGGGTGTGCCAGCAGCTGTCTGCCTTGGTGTTTTACATTATTGGTAGTAAAGCAGGCGGGGCTTACTTTACTCTGAAGTCATCAGCTGCCAGGCGAGCATTGTCAATGTTAAGAACCAGCCGGGCATTGTCCATGGTTGCATCAAAAATCTGGAACAATAAACAAAAAAAACTTTAATACATATTCAAATATGAAAGAGATTAAGGATGTTAAGAATTACCATTATAAAAATGGCATCTACCACTTAAAAACATTCAATACATCAATTTTATTCCTAGGTAGTTTTTTTGGTGTAAATATGTTTATTTTAGAAATCACAGCTTTTAATTTAGCTGAGCTAAAGGTCGTTTACGGGTTAATAAGTACTACTTGCAGCTAATCTAATGCTAGCAGGAGTTTCATAAATAAAAGAAAGTAGAAAATGACTACACTGAGGATTTTTGACTTTAATATCATATTTTATATAATTTTGATAGTTGATTTAAAAAATGTTACAAGATTATAATAAAGGTATTTTGACTGAGTTATTATAGTGCTAACGTAACTTTATGAAGACCATGCTAATGCTAAAGCAAAGCATTAGAGTTAAGGGCTACAATTAGCATGGGGCATATACTACATCTATAAAGCTTCAAACTCAATGCTAATTCTGACATTTTGAATTGAAAAAGCTTCCTGGATGGGAAGCGAAGCGTCTTAAAACTTGGAAACAAAGTCCAGTGGATTGTTTTTTAATTTTTTTGAATGACTATGACCTGGATGACTGAGAATATTCACCAGCATATTCTACATATCTTGGATAAATGTTTTTGAAATATTATCATTGACCTGTTCAGGATGTACCCCACCTTTTGCCCATAGAGTACAGGAGATAGGTACCGGTCCCACTGCGACCCTGACGGAATAGGTGGGATTGTTGAAAACTACACTAAACAAATTAAAAACCAGAGTAAAATTTCAGGACCATATAAATATGTTTATTCTATCTGCAACAGAATATGAATATAAGGCCAAATTCTGTATTTAGAAACTGAAAAGTTTGATTGCTTTTCTGCCATTTGGCTGATCATGGCAGACATATTCTCTGAAAATACTACAATTTAATTGATGGCAAAGTCTAATATTTATGAAATATTTAGATCAAAAAGAGAATCTGCCTGTAAAGTGAAGCCATAGCATATGCATGTTATGGCTGCAATCAATAGAAAGTGTGAAGAACAAAAAAAACTGTTTTACTAGTGTATAAAGAAATCATAAATAAAATATCATCTAGATTTGTTAACAGGTGAAAATCATTAACGTTTTGATTAATCTTCATGAGTTTCTTTTAATCTATTTCTTTTTTTAAATTCAAATAAATTTATCATGTGAACAGGGCTTCTGTTTTTGTACATTAAGAGGGAGTAGCAGTCAATCACTTTAAAAACCAGATGGTTTAGTAGTCATGGAAAAGTTAATTGGGCTGCCATGAACAGCAGGGAGGCATCCAGGTGACAAAGTCCTTCAGCCAATGAAAAGCTGCCAGGCAGTCTGTGCTTGGGAGAGCAGGATCTATCCTGATAACATTTGCATGGTGGTGTTGATGGTGGTTGTGTATTTTTGGGTAAGTGTTTGTCTAGTCATGTGATTCTGCGTGCATGTACGTGTCCCCACAAATTACTTTTTGTGTGAGTCTTTTTCAGTTTTTATGTGGCAGTAAGTGTTTTTTTCCCCAAAAAAGTTTCAGGTTGGAGGAGGGCATTATGGATCATATCCTCTGACTGTATAAACTCACTGCCCTTTGTAGAAAACAAACCCAGTTTGATAAAGTTTCTGAAATTCTTATATATTAATCTTTTTTATCACAACATAAAGAAAGAAACTTTTATTTACCTTGATGAGGACTCTTTTACTTACCTTGATTAACAATGACAGAGAAAAATATAAAAACAAGACTCCCCGTTGGATTCTTTATAGTGAGCTCTAGTAGTGACATATCTAAACATTTCTTTAGATGAGAACAGTAATGACATGTTTTAAAGAATATAATTTCAATAGCTCGGCACTCTGTCTTGTAAAAAGATGCAACGTTCATGTTGACATGTAAAAAAGTGAAGATAGTTTATCATCTGACCTTTCCTTTTCTGTTGTATGTGTCAACACTGCACTGCGTTTCATTCCTTTCATTTTTAAATAACTACAGTGAAAGAAAGTTATAGGTGGAACTAAGATGAATTGGTCTTCTAGCTCTTAAAATATTTTCCATTTTTGTTTTGCTTTGGTTTCCTGTTTTGGGATCACTGATGCTGCAACATTCTTCCACCATAATATTTCCGGTCCAGACTTTGGGTCCCTCGGGCACATAGTGTAGAAATGTATGAAATTTACGTTGCCTTGATTATTGTAAGAGGTGCATTATAATACAAATCCACAGGTAGTAATCAGTGGTTTGGTCTAATATGATTTACTCTTGTGTTATTGATGTCTTTTTAGGTACACCCAAATCAAGTCTGTTTTATAACAGCTACTTGTTGTTTTCCTCTTTCACACATGCTCTGCTTCTGCTACACACTTGCAACACATCTTGATTAACTTATTTCATGTCTGCCCATTTCATGCTCCCTCACCCTCCTCCTTACCTTCTTCCTTAGTTCATCAATGATAGGCTGGAATTTGCTGTAGTCTCTGAAGTCAGGTCCACTCTTCTCCAGGGCTTCTTTGATCTTTATCTCCAGCTTGTGGTTGGCCTTCTCCAGGCTTCTCACGGTCTCCAAGTAGCTTGCCAGCCGGTCATTCAGGTTCTGCATGGCAAACTTCTCGTTCCCCATTATGTCAGCACTGTTTCCGCTCACCTGGACACTGCTGGAGAATCCCCCTGCTCCAACACCGGCTCCCATTCCGGCTCCCAGAGAACCTCTGAAGCTGGAGGAGACACTGACGCGGGAGCCACCGGCCCCACCATGAATGGACTGGGCCTTGTAGACCGGAACAGAGGTGCGAGTGATGGACATGGAAGGGGCCCTGCTGCTGGTAGAGGAGCGCATGGAATATGTAGTTTGCCTAGAGGTTTGCATGGTTGCTCTCAAGTGCTGAGACTCAGTGAGACAGATTGTGAGTTAAAGAGACAGAGAGAGAGTCGCTAGCTGTGTTGGCAGAATTGAAGCTCACAGACACAAGGCAGGAGGAGAGGGGGAAGCCTTATGGACTATTTAACTGCGTGGAGCAACAGGTCCGCCTCTCAGTCCAACCCCTAAATGTCTCCTCCCTGTTTTCCAACAGAGGTACTCAGACCACATCTTTTTAAGTATTAATTCTGTTTCAGAACAGAAAGACATTTTTTTTTTAAATAATTGACACTTGAGGTTGGACATTCAGTACAGAAAACTTCAGTATTGCTTTTGTTTGTTTAAATCTCCACAAAAGCATCTTAAAGCTGTTTTAATTAGGCTGGAAAAGCAAAAGTGTGTTTTGTATTTGGAGGGGGCTTCTAACTAACTAACTAACTAACTAACTAACTAACTAACTAACTAACTAACTAACTAACTAACTAACTAACTAACTAACTAACTAACTAACTAACTAACTAACTAACTAACTAACTAACTAACTAACTAACTAACTAACTAACTAACTACAACCAAATTGGTGTTACTACAGTATGACATGTCACACACCCTCCACCCTAAGATTGCTTAAATACAAATCAGGGAGTTTTACTCACTTAATTTCATCATGCTGAGCCATAGGTAGGATGAGGTCATGGCATACACTTGCTGATGCACTTGTTTTGAACAAAACAAGCAATTTTATTTATGCAACTGCATATTATTAATTCATTTAAACATAATGCTCAGTATGACATTTTCCATTGTTTAATGAATTGCATAATGTCTTTCAAATAAACTTAGAAGCAAAAAAGAGAAACATCTGATATATTTTTTCAGTGTGACTTTGTTCCAGATGTTGTGTGGTTTTGTTTGTTATCTGTCTTGTGGAGCCGGATGTGCGTCTGATTGCCCCCCTTCCATAAAGGATATGGTCAAACAAAGGAACAATTCCACAGACTGCCTGTTGATACCTGAGAACAATGACTTTCTACCACAGTAAACATATTTTAGGGGGCCTCATGTTGCTTTTCAAAGCAACCAAATTCCACAGATTCATATTTAACAACTTGGACTGAAACAAAGATTAAAATCTTCTCTTTTTTTTTTTTTTTTGGGGGGGGGGCCTCTGCACAGTTTTCTTTTATTGGCAGTTTCAGGACCTCCAAGCTGCAAAACATAAGTGGCTGTTTTCCAAAACCCCAGTTTCTCACAAAAGTTTTAAAATCAGTTCAAACTGTTAATCAATGACAACAATTATCGTTTTTGAAATCAAAATCTCTCTCCACATGTTTTCCGCAATGTATTGGTATCAATTTATCCTAAGAAAACATTTTAGCTCATGTCTTACCATTCAGTAACATTTTCATTCAACTTTTTCTGTCATGAAGGAACATGCAGCCAGATATTAGATATGAAGCACTCCCCATGAAATTGAAACCATTCTTGTGCCGTTGTTGAGAGTGAAAACAAAACCAATTCTGTGAAAAAAAGCATGAGAAAATGCTTCAACATTCAGTGTGTCTAATGACATTTAAGCAAAAAAAAAAAAAGTTATATTTTAATGTTTAAAATGATCATTGAAATGGTTTGATTTGCAACACTGAAAGAAGGGTTTTATTTAAAGATACAAAATGAATTTTGAATACAGATAACCATGGTTTTCACCTGAGTAATCAGCCAGTAGCAACATCTATCACACAGTGTTTTTTTTGTTTTTTTACGGTAAACCGTTTAGTGGGTTCATCTTTCATGGTCCTTAAAGCTGCCACACCTTGAGCAAAACAAACATTAAGGTAAAGGGGAGATGGAGTGCCTAAAAGAGATCATATCATGATGATAGATGGTGTTAACTTGCCTCCTTATGCTTTGCTTTTATCACCAAAGGCCTGCTTTTTTGATGCAGTCTTTGTCAAATTATGTGAATGATTTGCATAAGCTGTAAATGCTTATACTTTTCAATACCAAATAGACCAAAGTGTGAGAGCTTTTGGAATAAGCACGATGTGAAGGGCACCATCGGTCCAGATAAAACATGTGGTTGTTTTTAAGCTGCAAAGTTTTTGAAATTGTTCTGTGAATAAATGTCAAAGGAAAGCTGAATACATCAAGGCCAGCTTGTCATAAAGGATAGTATCTGTTGGTGTTAAATAGCTTTATTACCTGCTACCATTACATTATGTGATTACTAATGAGTAATTTGAGTTATCTTTTTTAAGCTGTCCTTTAATGCTGGTTTTGATCAAAAAGAGATAATCAAATTATATAAAGTCACAAGATGGTCACACACTGGCTGTTTAATAAATCTCATCAATGTGATATATATCCAAAAAACGTTATCACGCTTTTTGTTTGGACAGCAATGTTTACTTACAAGGGTTGCTTTTGGTGCTAATACAACTTTAAGCAATCATTGACAACATAGTTTAGCTTTTGTGTGATTGTGAGTTTAAACTCAGCTTGACTGTCAGTGAGACCAGACAAAGAGCCTACTATAAAAACCTAGGTTTAAAACTTTCATTTTTTATGAAGCTTATCGTAAGAGTAGTTCAGGTTATCCTGATGCTGCTATTGGCTTACATTGCTGAAGACATAGGGACTGCTTGTCTTTATTTTGGCTCACCCATTAGTGTCACCAATAACTTTAAGTTCTCTCTGCCTTTTCCTCATCATTTGAGAGCCCTGTTGCACCTTGCTGATTTAGACAGCATATGTCCGGCGTCCCAGAATCTCTTAAAATGCTGGCATACACTGAACTTTCTATGTATTTTGGCCGTATACATAGCATATTTATAACGAGTCCAAAACTTATGTCCTACAACAATCTAGCTTATGCATAATGTACGGCAGCATAATGCCCATGAGATGATGCACAGGCCAGTGTCCTGAGGGGAGCAGAGATGCGCATGGAGGAGCTGTGATCCCCCTTTTATACCAAGATGCTGCCAAAAGCCATTATACAGTAGCTGTAAGTTAGAAACACATTCAGCGGACATCTGGAACAAGTCAAATGCGTTGATATGCGCTGGAGATAAGTTCTTGATAAGTTACGCATAAGTTAGGCACAAGTTACTTATAGGTTTTGGATAAGCTGGACACCATGACTTATGAGTAACTTACACTTGTCAACGATTAGATGACTTACCAGTAACTTATGGCCCATGTATGGCATACGCTGGCAAAGGTCGGGAAATTTTGAGCATGCTCCAAATTATATTTTGAGCAAAATAATATTTTGAGCACATATGTGGACATGTGTCAGCGTGTTTCAGTGAACTTCAGTGTGCTTATAACTAGGGCTGGGTATTGTTCAAAAATTTTCGATTCCGGTACCAATACCGATACCTTCACTTCGATACCGGTTCCTGATCGATACTTTTTTCGATACTCGTTTTATAATATCAATTCGAAGAAAAAGAAAATTACACAACATAAAAAAGTACAAATCTTGAGTTTTATTTTAAGCTCTGATTTTTCCATTTACATTTTTCCTCTTACATAAAAAAAAAATCAAATCTGTCTCTAATATTCACTGTTACATTGTAAGGACCTT